GGACATTTAGGTTGCTTCCATGTCATGGCTATTGTAAATAGTGCTGCTTATGAACATAGGGGAGCATATATCTTTTCCAGTTAGAGTTTTCATCTTTTCTGCATATGTGCTCAGGAGTGGGATTGCTGGGTCATATGGTAGCTCCGTTTTTAGTTTTTTAGGGAACTTCCATACTGTTCTCCATTGTGGCTGCACCAATTTACATTCCCAGCAACAGTGTAGGAGGGTTCCCTTTTCTCCACACCCTCTCCAGCATTTCTTCTTTTTGATGATGGCCATTCTGACTGTTGTGTTTTGATTTGCATTTCTCTAATAATTAGTGATGCTGAGCATTTTTCACGTGCCTTTTGGCCATCTGTATGTCTGGTTTGTGCTTTTTGTATTTTTCTCTAACAATGAAATATTTGCCTAATTGAAGATCATTACAATTGCCCACTACAGTTTCTTTTAGAAGTTTTGTAGTTTTAGCTTTTGTTTGGGTGTACGATCCATTTTCAGTTAATTTTTATATGTGATATAAGTGTTGAGGTTTATCTTACATATGGTTGTCCCATTGTTCTAATACCATTTGTTGAAAAGACTATTCTATGCCCACTAAATGCTGTCAGCACCTCTGGTGAAAACCAACTGATGTAATAATACCATGCAGATCTGGTTTTGCCCGCTTTTATTTCAGTGGTCTTTAGGACTGTCCTTAGGCCGATAATCTAACTATAGCTTTAGGGAAAATGTCTTGAAATCAGGTACTATGAGTCCTTCAGCTTTGCTTTTGTTTCCCCCAAAAGTATTTTAGCTCTTCTTTGAATTTCCATATACATTTTAAAATCAGCTTATTTAGTTCTACAAAAAAGCCTGCTGGGGTTTTGATGAGGATCACGTTAAAAGACAGCCTTATAGAGATTTACATCACATACCATAAAATGACCCATTTGAAGCATAAAATTAAATAGTTTTTAGAATATTTACAGAGCTGTGCTAGAAAATGTTCAATCACTCCGAAAAGAAACCTGTGTGAATTAGCGCTCACTCCTTTTCTACCATCTCCCCTGCTCCTGGCTCAGGCATCTGAAAACTGACTTTCTGTCTCTGTAGAACTGACTGTTCTGGACATTTATGGAAGTGGAATTATGCAACTCTGGGTTTTTGGTAACTATCTTCTTTCATGTAGCATAATGTCTCAGGGGTTCATCTGTGTTGTAGCAGGTGTCAGTACTTCTTTTTATTGCTGATCAGTTAACATCCCATTGTACACCATATTATTTTGTTTATCTGTTCAGAGGTTGATGGTCCTATCAGTCGTTTCTACTTTTTGGCTATTATGAATAATGTTGCTATGCATGTGCTACCCTTGGACAGTTTTTTGTATGGGCGTGTGTTTTTTTCTCTTGAGTATATGCGAGGTCATATGGTAATTCTATACTTAATATTTTAAGGAACTGTCAGGCTGTTTTCCAAAGGCTCCGCCATGTTACCCTCCCACTGTCAGTGTCGGGGGCTCCGTGTCTCTGTATGCTCACCAGTACGTATGCTTCTTTCCTTCAGATTATAGCCGTTCACGTGTGTGGTGCCATGTGAAGTGGTAACTCTTGTGGTTTTGATTTACATTTTCCTAATAGTTAATGATGTTGATAGTCTTTTCATGTACTTATTGACCATTTGTATATCTCTTTTGGAGAAATGTCTGTTCAAATTCTTTGCCCATTTTTAATTGGGTTATCTGTCTTTTTATTGCTGGGTTGTAAGAGCCCTATATATATTCTGGATACAAGCCCCTGAACAGATATATGATTCACATGTAATTTTTCATGTTTTGTTGGTTATCTTTCAACTTTCTTAATTGTATCCTATGAAGCACAAAGTTTTGTATTTTGTTGACGTCCCACTTATCTATTTTTTCGTTTGTTGCTTGTGCTTTTGGTGTCATATCTAAAAGTCTTTGGCTAACTCATGATCATGAAGATTTACTCCTATGTTTTCTTCTAAGAACTTTATACTTGTAGCTCCTATATTTTGGTGTAAGATCCATTTTGAGTTGACTTTTGTGTATGGTGTGAGTAAGGGGTCCAGCTTCATTCTTTTCCATGTGGATGTCCAGCTGTTTCAGGGGATTACATTTAATCTGTAGATTAGTTGGGAGAGAATTGATATCTTAGCAACACTGAGTTTTCTAATCCATGAGCATGATAGATATCTCTATTTATTTAGGTTTTCTTGAATGTCTCTGAGGAATGTTATTGTAGTTTTCAGTTTTATACACATTTTGTTAGATGTATTCCTAAATAGTTTGTGGTTTTTGGTATTGTTTAAAAAATTTTAAATATGGACAATCAGTTCTAGTGGCTTTTTAATATATCTCCTAAGATTTTTTACATACATGATCATATCACCTGGAAATGCAGTTTCACTTTATCCTTTCTTACCTGGATGCTTTTTCTTTTATGTACAATTTAATGTATTCTCTATTTACCTTCTTTCTGTTCAAACTTAGATCATCGATTTTAGACCTTTTCTAATATAAAGATTAAAAGACTTATCATTCTTTCTGAGCACTACCTTAACTTCACCTCACAAATTTTGATTTGCTGTATTTTTGTTTGCATTAAGTTAAAAGTATTAACTGATTTCTTCTTTGACTTATGGGTTATTTGTAGGTCAGATGTTTAGCTTCTAAATATTTGAAGATTTTCCTGAAATCTTTTTATTACTAATTTATGCTTAATTCCACTGTGGTCAGAGAATTCTATGTGATTTAGGTCTTTTTAAATTTGTTGAGACTCATTTTATGGCCGTAGCATCTGATCTCCTTTGACAAATATTTAATTTACCTAAAGCGACTACTTGCCTTCTGCTGTTGTTGGGTGGAGTGCTGTTTAAGTCTTCAGTATCTTTACTAATTTTCTGTTTGTTCTATAAATAATCAAGGGAGGATTTGAAATCTCCAATCATAATTGTGGATTTTTCTGTTCTCCTTTTCAGTTCTACTGGTTTTTGCTTCATTTACTTCGGAGCTCTGGTATAAGTGCATACGCATTAGTATTGTTAAATCTTTTTTATATTGACTCATTTATCATGATATAATTTTATCCAATTATCTCTATTATACATTATGCATACAGCACATTATATATGCAACGTGTCATGTAAAATACAATATACACATTACATTACGTCCACTATATAAAATATATTATAATACATAATACATAATATATTATAAAGTGATATATAATTTTTTATCCCTGGTTGTATTTCTCTGAAGTCTACTTTGTTGATATTTACATAAGTACTGTAGCTTCCTTTTGATTAGTGTTATATGATATATCTTTTTCCATCTTTTTTTACTTTTTGGCTATCCGTTTCTTTATATTTAAAATGTAAACACCATATAGTTGGTTCTTTCTTTATTATTCAGTCTGACAGTCTTTGCCTTTTAGTGTTTAGACCAGTTATTTTTAATATATTGGATTTACATTTTGCACTTGTTTTCTACTTTCGCCGTCTCTTTTGTACTCCTATTGTCCTCTTTGTTGCCTTTGTTCATGTAAATTGAATATTTCTTATTCTTTAATGCTTCTCTACTATTGACTTATGAACTGTACCTTTTGTTGTATTTTTCTAATGGTTTATGCAATTTCATACTAGTGTACATGTATCTGTAGGAGTCATTCCTAGAAGCAGAACTGCAGGTCAAGAGGTAGATACATTTTTTATCTTAATGGCCTTTTCTAAATGCTCCTATATGGGGATTGTAATATATTGCACTCTATCTTCCAAGATATGAGGCTATCTCTTTCTCTAGTAAGGCCAATAGAGGGTCTTGTCGAAGTTTTAGATTTCTGCCAATCTGATTTCTCATTAATTTCTTGATGAGAAATGATATCTCAGTGCAGTTTTAATTGCATTTTTCTCATTATGGGGGATGTTGAACCTATTTTCATATCTCTGTGTACAATTTATACTTACTTTCCTGTGAAATATTTTTCATGTCTTTTGTCAATTTTTCTTTCATTTATTATATTTCTTCTTGATTTCTAGAGACTCCTTACATATTAGGGAGTTAAACCCTGTATCTGTGACATGAGTTGTAAATATTCTTTCCGGAGTTTGTCATTTATTATTTGACTTTGCTCATGTTTTAACTTTCATTTTGAAATAATTATAGATGCAAAGGAAGTTGTTAAATAGTACATCAAGTTCAGCTTCTTCAAATAGTGAAACCTTATATAACTACAGGACAATATCAAAACAGGCAATGGGGGCTTCCCTGGTGGCCCAGTGGTTAAGACTCTGTGCTTCTAATGCAGGGGGCCCGTGTTTGACCCCTGGTCAGGGAACTAGATCCCACATGCATGCCACAACTAAGAGTTTGCATGCCGCAACTAAGGAGCCTGTGAGCCGCAACTAAGGCCCAGCACAACCAAATAAATAAATAAAATATTAAAAACAACAACAACAAAAACAGGCAATGGACATTGGCACAATACTGGTAAGTACACTGCAGGTCTTATTTCTCCAGCCTAACCTGAAAACAAACACAGGAGCTCTTCATTTTGGGGACTGGCTTGGAAATCCCTGGTAAGAATTGAGCAGAGGAAACCAAGAGGGTGCTGGGGACAGAGACTCTGAAGTTCCATTAAGCATGTGTAGCCAGAATGTCTGGTCTGGAGTTTGGATTTAAAAAAAAAATAGATCTAAAGAAAGTCCCAAAGACTTCTTGCTTGCTTTCTTCTTTCCTCAGATGTGAGTTTCTCAAACTTTGCCTCTCTTTTAAACCCTAGACCTATTACAGGTTTCAAAAGCCTTTACATCCTTGCGAGCACCTGCCTTGAGTTACAGGTGGTGGTGAAGGTAGGGTCTGGCCGGCCTTACTGGCCACAAGGCAGCTGTGGGGCACCCGAGACAGCATTCTTAGGAGAATTATTTTTACATTTGGATCTGGTTGTCTTAAGAAATAATTCTAATTCTGTAAGAACATGTCTCATTTGTAAACCAATAATAAAAATTAGCACAGCTTACCATAGAAACAATAATCATATTCCTTTAGCTTGCTTGCTTATTCCTGCAGCTCCTTTGCTGAAAATGTGTCTGTCCCAGAATCAGCTATATTATTACTGCCCTTTATTCTTCTTTAAAGAGAGCTGGGAGCTGGACTCTGTGCTAATTTACACAGATTCCCTCTGCTGACCCTCCGACAACCCTATTAGGTGGCTCATGTTATGATTCCGTTTTAAAGATGACTTTCCAAGGGAGACATTGCTTGAGAAACATTTTGGCTCCGGGGGACCCTCACTGGGCCTCAGTTTCTTCATCTGCAGACTGAGGGAGGGCCCTGAGCAACTCCTCCCACCTCTGCTGTCCTCAAGTCCTTCACTGAAATCGCACAGGGGTTGCTGGATGGTTCCTGGCCCTTTGAGAGGGTGGTCTCCTACTGGTCTGAGGGCCACCAGACCAGTAGGAGACCTTTTCTTGTCTTCCTGCATCAGATCTTCTTTGCCCCCCTCTTCCATTCACAGCTCTTCCCATACCAGGCAGGGAGCAATGTCACCTGATAAAAAGACCACAGAAAGGGACTCAGGAAGGAGGAAACTGGTCTCCTCCCAAATCCTATTACAGCACTGGGATTTCCCTGGGGCTGCAGAATTCATTCTCTCTCTCTCTTTCTCTCTCTCTCTCTCTCTCTCTCTCTCTCTCTCACACACACACACACACACACACACACACACACACACATTTAATCCAGGATTTACTATGTATTGTTTTCTGCTATAAACATTTCTCATGTTAGTAATAGTTCATAACTGGTCTTAAGGACAAATTGAGGTAATTTTGGAATAATAATTAGAAAAATAACATAAAACCAGGTCGTTATCACAGGGAAACTCCCCTTGAATTACATCAATCTCTATGATCTGGTGATTCTGTGGTTCCCAGGGTGCGACCAGGTGTGGGTGAGGCAGGAGAGTGTTGTCCACAGCCTCCAGGGGTCATTTTATCCTTCAATCCGAGGCCACAACAGAAGTAATAACTGATTCCTTGTGCTTCTGGAATTCTGAGTCACTCACTGTGAAGACCACACTTTAAACAGCGAGATTTCCGTCAAATGTAACCAGCGCTGGGCTATCAGGGCCTAGCCCTGGCTCTGCCCTATCCAGCCCCTTGCTTTTGGCAAATTCATTTTGATTCTCTGGGCCTCATCTCTCTGTCTCTGAGTGGACTGACCTGAGAGGCACTGAATTTATTTTATTCGTCACTAAACCCTTGTGGACCCTCCTTTACTTCCTTATAGGTGGTGACAGTCTCTGGTGGGCTTGGGGATGATGCAGCTTTGCTTTTCTTCTGTGGTAGGTTTACCTGTTGACAACTCTTCCTTCAGTCACCGTGTTCGGGAACTTGTAAAATGAAGGGTTTGGGAGTTTAAAAAATATCTCATGGGTTCTATAATCTTTTAATCAAGAAAAGTTTCCCCCTTTTTTTCCTCTCGGATATGCTAAATGTGACCGGACACTGGCTTTCTTTAACAGGCTTTCAGCAACTTGTGAAATGATTCCCTATTTTATTTTAAATCAGTGTTTTCTTTCTGATTAAGATAAATCCCCACTGAATTTGAGATCAGACGTAGACATGGTAGATGGTGCTGACTTTCAAGGTCGTGAGAATGCTTTCTCTTGTTTACTAGAAAAGAAATATTTCCCCCCCATACATGGTATGTGTAAAGTTAGGAAAAAACATAGCAATTTAATCATCATTTTTCCATTAGAATTACATAATGTTTTTAAAATAAAAATTCACCCAGGTATATTTTAAAGGTCGAGTTGGCTTTATTGAATGATTCATGAATCGGGCAGCTTCCCATCTAGTAGGTAGAGGGGCTCCAAAGGGCTACAGAAAGGGAGAGGCTTTTAAAGGCAAGACAAGGAAGCCACAAACAAAGAAGATTATTTCAGGCTTAGGTCGCCCACCTGCGTCGGGGACAGAAGGGGCCTATGTGGCAAATTATCCTTCTTTGGAGGGTGGAAGGGATTACCTCTTTGGTGCTGATCAGAACATTTCACACTGACCAGGGTTATATTCCTGGGGAAAGCTGTAACTGCAGTTAGGTTAGGTATTAAGTCTTGGTTTTAGCACAGGGGACTCCATCCAGGGCCTGTCATTTCTTTTCTAACAGCGTGCCTTTCCCCACACCATGGGGTGAGCGCAGGATCGTCTGCATTAGAATCACTAGGATGTGTGGGTTAAAATGCAGGGTCCTGGACAGGCTCCAGGCAGTGGATGGGAGGTGAGGCTGAGAGTCTGTATCTTCACATGCTTCCTCAGTGGTCCATCAGCCCACTAGAGTCTGACTCTCTCTGCAGGAGTCTGTTTCCAGGAGCCCCATTTTTAAAGACAAAAGGAAATCCTTTCACAAGCATGTGCTGTTATGCGCTTACCTCTTCTCCTAGAACTGGACATTTACCTTGTGTCTACATCTTTCTCTTTTAGATCGTTACTTTGATAGACATTATTGTTTACACATTTCACATTTACTAGTGTCTTCTAGTAGTCAAATTACTCAAAGCTAAAATAAAACGAAAGGCAAAAAACCAAAACAAAACCTGGAGAGGATGTTTCTTACAAATTCAATAAAGGGAAGCTGTGTTTCAAGCGTGAGAAGACAGGGAATATCCCAGCAGAAAACCAGGTCATGGCCTTGACCAGCCAGTGTGGGTGGCACCCCCTCCTGCTTGCCAGCCTGTGTGACCGAGCCTGACTTCTGTCCTTGGTGTCCAGGTGACCGTGGACTTGGGTCTTGGCCACGCCCCCACTTCTGCCCCCCAGCTGACCCCTCACAGGGAGCTGCCCTCCGACCCTCCCTGGACGTCCCCCAAGGGTCCCTCTGCCTGACACCCTGTCTTCCCTGTGCCATGGCAGGGGGCAACCCACCCTCCCTCCACTGCAGACTTTCCTGCTCACTCCCTATCTCACTGCGTTTGACTGTCCTTGGGGCCTCGACCCAACGGCATTTGTAATGACCAGGTGTCACTGGGGGCTCATCCCATCCCCTCCGCGTGCGGGGCCCCTGTTCACTGCTGGGCTGGCTCCCAGCACCTTGCTCAGGGGAAGTGGTATAATATGTGTTGAATAAGTGAAAAAAGATGAAGTAACTAGTAAACATATAAAATGGTTGAGCCTCACAAATAATAAGGCGATTGAGGACAACTTTCTAATTTTAAATTGGCCACAGTTTTTTAAAATGACAAATTCCATTCTGGACGAAGATCCAGTAAAGTGGGCTGTTGGGGCGTTGGTGGAAGTGTACACGGGCACAGGGTTAGTTGAGAACACTTTGGCCTTGGGTGTGTAAAGCTCCTTAAACTGCTGAGGAAACTTGTGCCTGTAGAAGAGTTCTACTCGGGTATTTACTCCATTTATTTAAAGTTCTTCTAGGCTCCCAACTGCAGCAGCCTTCTCACAAGAAGGCTGACGACCTGGCCTTCTTAAAAGAGGTATAGGACCTTGCCCAGGAAGTTTATGAAATGATGGACAAGGCGAGAAACTTACAAAAACTTTGGGTAGAAAGATCCAAGACTCCAGGCAAGTAAATCTCTGAAACTCTCCACCCCGTCCCTGGTCACAGGCTTATGTGGGGCCCTGTGACAACCCAGGATGTCTGTAAAATCCTGTTCATGCTTCATACCCCCTCCAGCGGCCGTTGCTGTGAGTCTTAGAAAAAGCCACCCCCCTCCAGGGTTGAGGCCCGGCACCTGGGGCGGGTTGGGAGCCTGGGCTGCACTTCCGCTCCCTCGCTCACGGCCCTGGGGCACAACCCTCAGAGGGGCTGCAGCCCTTCCCCCTTGTCTCCGAGGGTCCAGGGCCCCTCCCTCCATTGGTCCTTCTCCTTCTCTTTCTTCTGTTGCTAACGTCCTTTCTCGCTCCCTCTTCCTCTGTGTTTAAAGTCTGTCCCCAGGTATCACACACACAAACACACACACACACAGAGACACACAGGTACATACAGACACAGACAGACAGACACACATACACACACAGATACAAACACACACACAGACAGAAACACAGACAGACACAGACAGGCATGCACACAGACACACACACACTTCTGATTCCTTTCCTCCTCCCTGTAGACTTGGTTGGTCTTTCTTTGTTGGTAACACTGTGATTCTGGCCTCATGATTAGCTTGCTTTGATAGCAAACCTTTTGGATTATTGGGCTGCATTATTTCTGTTCACGATGAAGCATGTCCACAGTCTAGGCCAACTCTTCTCTGTAAATCCCCAGTAAAGAAAGTTCAGTGGCTGTAGGTTTTGACGAGCTTGGTTGACAAGTGGAGAAGCCAGGCCCTCAGAGGGGCAGCTCACTGCCTGTCTTCACACAGCCAGGTTAATACCTACAGACTTCATCAATAAATGGGGCACAGCTATCCTGCCCTTTCTTTCTTTTTTTTTTTTTTTTTAACACTACCCTATCTACAGCACCCAGAAAACTACAGGACATTCAGTTAAATGTGAATTTCAGGTAAATAACAAATAACTTTTTACTGTATGTCCCAAATATTACATACTTAAAGTAAAAATTTAAATGGGCATCTTATGTTATCACTTGCTAAATTGGCAACCCTAAGTACCCACCTTGAATTTTTATACATATATACATATATATATATATATATACACATATATATTTCCCCCCCATGGAATATATACAGGAAAATGGAATGAAGCGTTTGGCAGAAAATACAGAAAGAGCTCTTCAGAGGAGATAATAAACATTACGTGTTATTCCTACGAGAGGAAGCAGTGCCTTTGTCCAGGGTGGACTGCTTTGTCCACAATGGACCCAAATGCAACAACAAAAAACCAGAGTAGCTTAAACACCCAAGGATGGGTTTCTTATATGAGGTGCTGTTATGAGGTCATTCTACCTTCATAAAATTTTTTTCCAGTGAGGTCTCCAACATTCTGTTAGAGGGGGAGCTAATGTTTTGAGGTGAAGACCCCACTTGGTTTTCAGTTTGCTGCTGTCTGAGCCGTTTCCCGTGGTTTATGTGTAAAAGAAAACCTACTCTGCTCACAGCACTTCTGACACCAAATGCCTGGGTTCTCCAAACCAAGTGACTTCCCAGTTCTCGTGGACCCCAAATGGGTGTGCTGTGACTTAATCCGGTTCTAACAGACCCCGTAGGTGAGGCCTCAGCCCCACAAGGCTGCTCTCACTGCAGAGTCCAATAGCAAGGAGTGGGTGCCCGGGGTCTCCACACTTCAGTCCCGCTTGGCTATAAATCGGGGGTTCTCACAACCCTTCCTCAGGTCCTGTGATGCTAGAATGGTTCACAGAACTCAGGGAAACACTTTACTTGCTATTAGCAGTTTGTCATAAAGGCTACAGATGAACAGCGAGATGAGCAAGTTACAGGGCAGGGTCTGGAGGGTCCCGGGGCTCAGGGTGTCTGTCCCTCTGGACTTAGTGTGTGGATGTGGTCACCAGCTAGAGGATCTCTGAAGCCATCATTTCGTGTTTTTGTGGAGGTTCCATTAGGCAGGTGTGACTGGTTAGATCATTGGTGGTACACTGCATCTCCAGCCCTTTTCCACTCCCTGGAGGTTGGGGTTGCAGGGTGGGAGATGAAAGTTCCAAGT